GATGCCTACCTGCGAATATAGTCGCTAGGGGAGTTTTTATTTCTTCTTTCTGATGTAATGATCACATGTAAATATTGAAGCTAGGATTTTCATGATGTAATGTCTGATAAGGCACACTTGATTGAAAATTGTTAAATGAAAATCCTAAGTGGCGACAGATGATGAGGGTGCTAAGGAAAGGCCAACCTAGCTGGGCCGTCCCGGTGCGCCTACTGAGTCCCCAAATCTTGGCGAGTTAAATTCTGCTATGAGATCTCGGTCTATGATTGGTTGAAGCAAAGACTACAAACCTCCATTGTCATCCCCAAAATAGCTCGATGCATAGCGGTGAACAAAAAAGTCAAAAACTTGACTAGCTCAAAATCGTTAGGGGCTGGTGGTGAGCTCTCAAAACCAAAAATGGTTAAAACTGAAAATGATCAATCCCGGTGATCAAGCTTGACGCATTGCAATGAGCAAAAAAGTCAAAAACTTGACTGCTCAAAATCGCTAGGGGCTGGTGGTGAGCTCTTAGAACCAAAAATGGCTAAGGTTCAAAATCACCAAGCCCGGTGATCAACATAGCTCGACGTATAACGGTGAGCCAAAAAGTCAAAAACTTGACTAGCTCAAAATCGCTGGAGGCTGGGTGGTGAGCTTTCAAATCAAAAAATGGTTAAAGCTCAAAATACTAAGCCCGGTGATCAACATCACTCAATGCATAGCGGTGAGCAGAAAAGTCAAAAACTTGACTAGCTCAAAATTACTAGGAGCTGGTGGTGAGCTCTCAAAACCAAAAATGGTTAAGGCTCAAAATACCAAGCCCGGTGATCAACATCCCTCAACGCATAACATTGTGCAAAAAAAAAATCAAAAACTTGACTAGCTCAAAATCGCTAGGGGCTGGTGGTAAGCTCTCAAAACCAAAAAATGGTTAAGACTCAAAATCACCAAGCACGATTATCAACATCGCTCGGCGCATAGTGGTGAGCAAAAAAGTCAAAAACTTGACTAGCTCAAAATCGCTAGGGACTGGTGGTGAGCCTTCAAGAGCAAAAAT